TAGTTGACCACCTTATTTATTGTTGAACTTGGCTGGTTAGCTGCTTTGCTATGGAATTTTCAGTTATCTTTCAAACTTCAATTCTCATTGTATCTTGTAAGTGTATGTCCGGAGACATAGCGCTTGAAAGAGACTCCATTGAGTTTGTACTCGAGAAGTAGCTTGCCTACAATGGAGGTAAGGCTTGTAGCGTGTGTGCGTATGTCAGGGACATAGCGCTTCAAAAAGGCTCCATGAAGTTTGTACTCGAGAAGTAGCTTGCCTTCAGTAGAGGTATGGCTTGTCACTTGTGGGCGTATGTCGGGGACATAGCGCTTGAAAAATGCTCCATTGAGTTTGTGCTCGAGGAGCAGCTTGTCTGCAGTGGAGGTGAGGCTTGTCGCCTGCGAGCGTATGTCGGGGACATAACACTCGAGAAATGCTCCATTGAGTTTGTGCTGGAGGAGTAGCTTGTCTGCGATGGAGGTGAGGCTTGTCGCCTGCGAGCGTATGTCGGGGACATAACACTTGAGAAATGCTCCATTGAGTTCGTGCTCGAGGAGCAGCTTGTTTGCGATGGAGGTGGGGCTTGTCGCCTGCGAGCGTATGTCGGGGACATAACACTCGAGAAATGCTCCATTGAGTTCGTGCTCGAGGAGCAGCTTGTCTGCAATGGAGGTGGGGCTTGTTGCCTGCGATCGTATGTCGGGGACATAACACTCGAAAAATGCTCCATTGAGTTCGTGCTTGAGAAGCAGCCTGTTTGCAATGGAGGTGAGGCTTATCGCCTGCGGGCGTATGTCGAGGACATAATGCTCGAAAAATGCTCCATTGAGTTTGTACTTGAGAAGCATCCTGTCTGCAATGGAGGTGAGGCTTGTCGCCTGCGGGCGTATGTCGGGGACATAACACTCGAGAAATACTCCATTGAGTTTGTGCTCGAGGAGCAGCTTGTCTGCAATAGAGGTGAGGCTTGTCGCCTGCAAGCGTATGTCGGGGACATAACACTCGAAAAATACTCCATTGAGTTTGTGCTCGAGGAGCAGCTTGTCTGCAATGGAAGGGAGGCCTATCGCCTGCTAGGAGCCCAGTTGGTGAGCGCAGGGCTTCATGGATAGTATCTCCGAAGGTTGTGTCTACTGCGCAGATCTCACGGCCTGGGTTTCCGGGCCGAGGGGATATGCGTTGACACGCGGCTTCCTGCTTTTGGGTGCGGTGCGTTTGTGCGCGGGCGTGCCAGCACGGTCTACCGTGCGTCGAGATGGTTGATGTGGATAGAATGGTTAAGTGGTGCGCCTGTTTGGACTCGTCTTCTAATCAAACGATTGTAGCCGAGAGAGGAACTAATCTCGGCTGTTAGGTTCACGGCCTGAGCTACAAGGCCATTTAGTGATGGTGTTGGTGGGTTTTGGGCGCTGCTCCGGCGCGCTGCTCAGGGAGCGACGGTCGTATGATATATGGGGTGAATGAGCGAATAACAAGGATGATGCTCCGGCGCCTTGAAAATCAAGGGTCGTATGATATATTGATGAATGAATTTTCCTTACAGTCGAACACTACACCTAGGAAAACAAGTAAAGATATTGAAAGTGCATTACAGGAAAATATAAGTTGCTCCGTGGGAGGCTTTGGTTTGGTGTTTGAACCCTTTGAATGTATTTTGAGCCCTGTATTTATAGGAGTTTCTTGGAGGAGTAATCGAGGCTGAAATCCTGCATAGTGGAGCCTGATTAGAGCAAGTGGGTAGTCCAATCAACATTTGGGATCGTGAAGTATGGTGTTGCGACCCCATAAATCCTGGTGAATCTCGACCGCCGCCCTGATCGTGGGTTCTGCGCTTCTGGGCGTGGAGACACATTTATTATTCTGATAGCTGGTGACCTAATCTCTCAAGCTGCAAGAATTCTTGTGAGAATGTCCACGTCTAATCACTCTGTTTCCTGTCGCCAAACCCTGACTTCAGTCACTTCCCACCTTCCCTCATGCATTAAATGCTTATTCCTGGCCAGTGGGTTTGCTGTAATAAACAGAGGCATTACTTCATTAAATGAAGCATGGGACCCTGCTATCACGTGATGATTTGATTCTGATATCTCTGGCCGTGATTTTGCTCGGCCTCGGCCTCGGCTTACAATCGAGGCCGAGATGATCATGCCTTGGCAACTTTTCTTTTGTTTTCAGGAAGGCAAAACACCTTGGCGAAACGCTGCGCTTTAGCTTCTCGAGGAAGTGCTTGGGCCGAGAAAAAGGGCTCATTCGGCCAGTTCATGGCCGTGATTTATTAGGCACAAACATTGCCCCCACATCCCTGGATCCTTCGGTCTCGGCGTAGGTAGGGGCCGAATGGATTCCAAGGGATGGACCCTTAGCATTCCTCCTGAAGTGATTGACAACTGGGTCATTAAATGCGCAGGTCAGTCGGCGCATTTAATGGTTCAAGCGCGTCGTGCTGGTCATTATTGCCCAGGCTTACGCGAGGCGTCGCTTCGCCTCGTCAGAGGAAACGACGGCCTCTGGGCTTTCGACACGTCCTCGCGCTCCTAATTCGCACGAGCCATCATTTTGCCTTGCTAATCGAAACGTCGGCCGCCAGGTTTCTGTCATAATTTCGCGTGCTGTGAGTACATCGTCATGCCGTTTCATTTTACGAGGATGAGGGCCGGAGTATGATATGCGAACAAGCATGTCACCTTTCATGTAGTACCTCACAGCCTTCTGTTTGATTTTCTGGGCCTCGGACTTGTCCTTGGGTAAGTTTTCGTTAACCAGGTAGTCAATGATGGGGGTCTTGCCAGCTAGGATCCTTGTCGATCTGCATCAAGTCTGGCTGTTCCGCCTCTTCTATGCTTGGATAGAGTGTCTGAACTGGGTATCAAGCGCTGATCCTAAGCTTGCTAGTGCGTCTGCGTGCGCGTTCTCTGCTCGAGGCACTTGTTGGATGGTGAAGGTAGGAAACGCCTTCAACAGCTCTTGGACTTTGTCAAGGTACAAGATCATCCTTGGTTGCTTCGCCATCTATTCTCCTGAGGCTTGATTTGTGATCAGCTGGGAATCTGAGTAGATGGCCAGCTTCTTGATTGACAGCTCCTTTGCCAAGCGCAAGCCAATGAGCAATGCCTCGTATTCTGCCTCGTTGTTTGAAGCTGGGAAGCCAAGCATGATAGCTTGCTCCAACCGGGTTCCATCCGGAGTGATGATGACGATGCCTGCTCCAGCTCCTTTTTGGTTCGACGCTCCATCTACGCGCAACTGTCACATGTCTCTGGGTTGGTCAGGTTCATCGGAGGTCTTGTCTGCTCTCGAACTTTCATTCTTTTTGCGGACCAGCTTCTCTTCTTCGGCTGATGGGGTGAATTCTACGACAAAGTTTGCTAAAGCCTGGGCTTTTATTGCAGTCTTCGGCCGGTAGAGGAGGTCGTATTGGCTTAGCTCTATAGCCCACTTCATGAGTCGTTGAGACGCGTCAGGGCTGTGCAGGATTGACCTAAAAGGAAAGTCGGTCATGACGATGACTCGATGAGCTTGGTAGTAGGGTCGCAGCTTTCTCGCGGAAACTACAAGGGCCAAAATGAGCTTCTTCAATTTTGGGTAGCGAGTCTCTACATCGAGAAGGGCTTTTGACGTGTAGAATACCGGATGTTGGGCCCCCAGTTCTTCTCGGATGAGAGCTGAGCTGACGGCCGAGTTGGACACTGCTAGGTACACGAACAAGTCTTCTCCAGGAACTGGCTTGGAAAGCAAGGGTGGTGAAGTGAGGTAAGTCTTTAGATTCTGGAAAGCTTCTTTGCACTCCTCGTCCCATTTATCTCTTTGCCCCTTTTTCAAAGCCTTGAAGAGTGGTCTGCACTTGTCGGTGGATCTCGAGAGGAATCGGTTGAGGGCCGCTGCTCTGCCCGTCAGACTTTGTATTTCCTTTACTATTGAAGGTGACTTCATCTCGAGAATGGCCTTGATTTGGCGTGGGTGCGCCTCGATACCTCGTTGAGTTACTAGGTATCCCAGGAATCGGCCGAACGATACACCGAACGTGCACTTACTTGGATTCAACTTCATGCGATACTGGCGAAGCAGGCTTAACGCCTCAGTGAGGTTCTTGATGTGGTCTGCTAGCTTAGGGGCTTTGACTAGCATGTCATCCACGTATACTTCCATGGTTTTGCCGATCTGCTCCTTGAAAATTTTATTCACGAGCCTTTGGTAGGTTGCTCCAGCGTTCTTTAGCCCAAAAGGCATGACCTTGTAACAGTAAGTCCCTCTCTCTATGATGAAAGAAGTCTTCGCCTTGTCATCCTCGTACATTAGGATTTGATTATAGCCGGAGTAGGCGTCCATGAAGCTGAGCAGCTGATTGCCGGAAGTTGGATCCACGAGCTGGTCGATTCTCGGCAATGGGAAGTTGTCTTTAGGGCAAGCTTTGTTGAGATCGGTGTAATCGACGCAGACTCTCCATTTGCCCTTTTCTTGTTTCGCCACCAGTACAACGTTGGCCAGCCATTCTGAGTAGGAGACCTCTTCAACGAAGCCAGCAGCTAGAAGCTTATCGATCTCGGCTTCGATGATCGCAACTCGCTCGGGAGCGAAGTTGCGTCTCTTCTGCACCACGGGTTTGCTGGCGGGGTTGACATGGAGTCGGTGGCAGATGATGTTCGGGTCGATGCCAGGCATGTCAGATGACGACCACGCAAGCATGTCTTTGTTCTTCTGGAGGAGGTGGTCATCTCCACCTTCTCGTCTAGGCTTAGGCGCGAGCCGATCTGCGCTTCTTTGTCTGGCGGGCCAAGATCAGGGGGGACTAACTCAACGCAATCCTCAGGCTTCCAACCTTGTTCAAGGGAGCCTTCTGGGCGGAGTCCCTCGTCTCGATCCTTCTTGTCTGGATTCTGGCGCGAGCCGATCTGCGCTTCTTTGTCTGGCGGGCCAAGATCAGGGGGTACTAACTCAACGCAATCCTCAGGCTTCCAACCCTTTTCAGGGGAGTCTTCCGGGCGGATTCCCTCGCCTTGATCCTGACTCCTTAATTGCTATTTTGAGGTAGCAACTCCCTTCCTGTTCGGGCTTGCTTGTCTGCTGAGAGTGTTTCCTGCCACGTCAGTAGCCTGCATTACTAGTGTGAACTGCAACTGCTTGCTCTTCTTGAGCCCTTGGGCTGTGCATCTCCTCGCCATGGCTTGGTCACTGTTGATCTGCCCGATCTCGCCCCCAGGGATGGGGTAGCGGATCTTCTGGTGTAGAGCAGATGTGATGGCTTCGATTTTGCTGATCCATGGTCGGCCCAAAATCCCGTTGTAGGGAGAGACCTCGTCGATGACCATGAAGGTTTGCAAGCAGACCACTGGGGGTGAGTGGACGTCTAGGTCAATTGTTCCAACAGTGATTGATGTGGCCCCATTGAAGCCGGTGAGTGATCTGGCTAGTTTGTTGATCTTAGGCTCCAATCCCATCTGTTGGATAACAGATAGTTAGAGGATATTGGCTGCGCTGCCCTCGTCCACGTGAACTCGCTCGATCATAGCTTGTTCAATTTGGATGCAGATTACTAGGGCGTCGTTGTGCGGCAGATCAAGCCCGATCAAGTCCTTCTGGGTGTATCTGCAATGACCGGTACGCCCGTTGTGACTTGGGAGATATAAGTCGCCTGCGCGATCTTTCTCTTGCGCTCCCTGGTGGTCAGCCCGGACTCCTGGGAGTAAGCTAGAATGGTGTTGATCCTTATGACCTTTTGGGAAGGTTCCTTGGCAGCCGCATCACGATCCTCAATCTGCTGGATGGCCTTCTTTGCGACGAATTCTGTGCAATGGCCGTCTCTGACCAGCTCCTCAAGGTGCCTTTTCCAGGCGTTGCAGTTGTTTGTGTAATGACCATGCTCCCCATGGAATGCGCAGTATTTATTGGTGTCCCTCCTGAAGGGGTCTCCCTTCATGGGTGGTGGTCTTCTCACCCACGGCTTGTCCTTCACTTGTGCAAGGATCTGGTGGATCAGGATAGTGAACTCAGTGAATGTTCCTGTTTTCGAGCCTCCCTCTTGGGGTCGCGATTTGAGCTTGTCTCAGGCTTTGTGCTCGAGCTTGTTGCTTTTTTGGCTTGCCTGCCTTGTCGGGTGATCAGCAGCTTGCTTGCTGGCTTTCTTCGCCGCAATACGATTGTCTTCCCAAAGTGCGTATTGCTCTGCCGTCGCGAAGACCTCTGCCAAGGTTTGGCTTGGAGTTATGGCCAGCTCACGATATAGCTCATGTTCGGTTGGCAAGCCTTTCTTAAAAGCTGACGATGCCACTTGGTCATTGCATCCTATGATGTTCGCCTTCTCAGCCTTGAACCGTCTGAGGTAGTCTCGAGGAGACTCATCTGGTTTCTTGTGCAGGTTGAACAAGTGGTCTGCATGCTTTCTAACCGTCCTGTAGGAGGTGTACTCCTTTGTGAAGATGAGGGCGAACTCCTTGAAGTTGCCTATCGACGCGGACGGTAGAGTGTGGAACCAGTCTTGAGCTGCTCCTTGCAGAGTCATCACGAACACTTTGCACATCAGGGCGTCGTCTGCCTTGTACAGGATCATGGCACTCTTAAAGTGCCTCAAATGGCTCTCAGGGTCGGAGTCTCCCTTGAACAGAGTGATGGATGGCATTGTGAACCGCTTCGGCAGTGCGGCGCGTTCCACCTCATCTGTAAAGGGTGAGCAGTCGACTCGAGCAATTTCCTTGTGCAGGGCCTCATCCGTGCTTCCTTTAAGTTGGAGACTTTGGAGTCGGTCATTCACTAACTTCTCGACATCTTCTGCCTGCAGGGCTAGTGGTTCGGGTCGATGTCTTTGGTGTCTCGAGCGCCGCTGGTTAACTTCCTCCTCGGTTCCCAAGGGTCGATCCCCTTGGTTGTTCTGCCCGTGGGGCAAATTAGGAGATTGAGCTTGTTACTCATTCATTCACCCCATATATCATACGACCGCCGCTCACTGAGCAGCGCGCTGGAGCACCGCCCAAAACCCACCATCAGCACCACCCCTAAACGGCCTTGTAGCTCAGGCCGTGAACCTTGCAGCCGAGATCAGTTCCTCTCTCGGCTGCAGTCGTTTGATTAGAAGACGAGTTCAAACAGGCGCACCACTTAACCATTTCCATCCACATCAACCTCTCGACGCACGGTAGACCGTGCTGGCATGCCCGCGCACAACCGCACCGCATCTTAAAGCAGGAAGCCACGTGTCAACGCACATCCCCTCGGCCCGGAACCCCAGGCCGTGAGATCTGCGCAGCCGACACCTTTGGCACGCCCGGTGGAATACTTGTCAAAAACTCATAGTGGAAACTAGGGCACAGGCAAAGCTCAAAAACAAAGCAGTCGAAATGACTTCTGAGACTCCTGAGTCCACCTCACCAATCATTGTCACCGAGACCGAGCACGCGGTCAGAATCTCGGCCAGCGTCCCAGTAAAGACGGATCGCACGGCCGAGTCCATGCAAGAGCAGGCCGTGGTGGAAGATTTGATGTCTAAGCAGGCCCACAGGATAGAGACATCCTTTATGGCCGCGATGGACAGATTTTCCTCGGAACTACGGACGCTTTTCCAGGAGAAGACGCCGGCGACCTCGCCCGCGACACCTCCTAGAGCCGGACAGAGAGATCGAGAGCGCGAAAGGATTGAGCCGTACAGCGAAAGCAGCAGCCTCGGCATCTCTGGCCGAACCCAAGCGTCAGGGTACGGTCAGCATTCGCTGCTGCCGACGAATAGCTGGGGGCAGTCCCAGCCCACATGGGCAAGCTCCGGACCAACCTACCCGGCAGAAAAGGCTTACGGACCACTCCACGCTTTGGCCGTATCCTTGAGACAAACCAGTCCCTCACATTCCGCGGTTCAGCAGCTCGGCCCAGTTCACACTGCGGCCGTCCAGACCCACCCTGGCCCAGGCGGCGCGACCGTTGCTCCATCACAACAGTACGGTCAGAGCAATCCGACCGTTTTGCCCCCCTTGCAGGCGTCGTTATTCCCGTCGGGCTCCCACCTTCATTACGGTTCGGCTATTCCGACGGTAGCATACACGCACCCCGGCCAAACCCATGGCGCTCACCTAGCGCCAGCCAGCTCGGCCGTACTAGCCGAGCCCCCTGTTCAGATGACCCAGCAGATAAGGCCGCAGAACGATGTGCAGCAGGTTCCGCGGCCATATGCGGCCCAACTAGAAGCACCCCCTCAAGGGCTCCGATTCGAAGATGTCCGGCGAATGATTGAGGACGGCCTCGCTCAGAGGCGACCGGAGGCGCCAAGGTATACAAAGCCGTACCCGCCGAAAATTGACCGAACCCCCCTTCCCCGGAACTATCGATTGCCAGAATGCATGCTGTTCTCCGGGGATGGGCAGACCTCCTTCATTGAACACATAGGCCGCTTCACGGCCCAGTGTGGAGAGGCCGATTCAGACGCACAGAAGCTCCGTTTATTTGTTCACTCCCTGACCGGCGCGGCGTTCTCATGGTTCATAAACCTTCCGCCGAATTCGGTAAGGGATTGGTTTGATATGGAAAGAATATTCCACGAACATTTCTATCAGACCAACCGAGAAATAACGGTCGCCGAGCTAGCAAGGATGAGCCAGGCGTCAGACGAATCACCTCGCGACTACTTGCAGCGGTTCAAAACTGTTTGTGCCTAATAAACCACGGCCATGAGCTGGCCGAAGGAGCCCCTTTTCTCGGCCCTGGCACTTGCTCGTAAAACTGAAACGCATCGTTTCAACAGGGTGCTTTGCCTTCCTGAAGACAAAAGAAAAATGCTAAAGCATGATCATCTCGGCCTCGAGTGCAGGCCGAGGCCAAGGCCGAGCAAAATCACGGCCAAAGGCATTAAAGGCGAATTATCACGTGACAACAGGGTCCCAGGCTTCATTTAATGAAGTAGTGCCTCTGTTTATTGCAGCAAACCCACTGACCACGAATA